AACAGCCCAGGAGCTTTTCTGGATCTCCATGTGGCAAAGACTCAGTAATTTTCTTTTTTGGTTACAAAACTTAGAAGTTGATTAATCTTTTTAAATTTAATTTTATTTATTTTATTTTTAAAAGAAAGTATTGAGTTTGCTGGGTATGTTTTAGTGGGGTTTTATAAATTGTATTTTGGTGTTCTGTTTTGGTTTTCTAACCAAATGCTGAGTAAAGTAGCATTAGGTTTTTAAATCTTGCACATTGCGTTATTAGGGTAACAATATTGTCTAATTATAAGACATAGGTCACTGACTGATGTAAAGATCAGGTGAGGGGAGAACTGCTCTATATTGTGAAGGGGAGAAATTGTGCTTTGCTACCTGCATTTAATTTCTCTTTCCTTCACTCTAAGGTTCTTGTCTATCTGTTTTATCCTCTCTAGGTATAAAAGACTCAGCAGTTTCAGGAAATAAAATCAGATGTGATGGTTCATTTCTCTCACAGAAAGATGAAAAATCTTGTTGTCAGCAGAGAGAGGTTGTGGTCAGACCAGGAGGGCAGAATGTCTTTGTCCTCAGCATCATTTCCTTGGCTGATGACCACGGGGTCGCTGTGTCTTTAATATTCTGGGCTTGCCTATATAATTTTTAATACCAGAAGTACAAATCTTCCTTTTGCCAAGTGTTTAATTTTTTGGACAGGAGCCTTACCGTGAAACCACCTAGGAGAAACTTTGCTTGCCAACAGGATGAATCCAGACTCCAGGAACAGCAATGTCAGGGAATAACTGATCTGAGCAGGTCTCTCTGGACTTCACAGTCAGTGGAGGGCTGCCTTAAAAAGTTCAGGATAGGATTATTCATTTTCTCATGGAGAGAACTGGATTTAGTGAAGTTAATCATAATGAAAGCTCTGCTAGTTTAAGAAGACCTCCTTTACCTACAGGGGTACCTGGACAGCTGGTACTTGGTGTGGACAGTTGAGATAAATCCCAATATTCTGTGATTTGATTGCTGTGCTTTGTAGAGAAGTAGGGGTGGTATTTTTCTGTGAAAATCTGTAGAATCCAGGTCTTTTGTCTTTCAAAATGAAGACAATATATGCCACAATATGCTTTTGAAGGCACAGTCGAAAATTATTAATATTGCACTTATCCTTTTTCTAACATATGTGTTGATTTAGAATCTTTCTTGAGTTGTAAGAATTGAGTCAAGCAGTTGGAGGGGAATGTACTGGGTTAGAATAAAATTAAGACTGTCAATTGTAGATCCATAATAGACACCATGGTGCTACCTTAGCCACTCTGCCATTAAAATCCCAGAAATAGTCCTGATGAGTTTTATTCTGTTCTTGTAATCAGACTCTGCAGTGCACTTGACTGGAGTCTTAAAATACTTGTATGGATTGAATAAGAGGTGCAGAATTACAGGGCTGTGCTCTGATGTACCCATATGATTTCACCATCTCTGGACGTGTCACCCGCTGTTCAAATAATGGGAGGAAAAGTAACAATTGAGTCATGTTGGTGAAATCAGAGATTTTATTGGAAGGTTTAGGTGGCCACTAAGTGCCCTGCTGAAAGGATTAGGTGGGATTTTTTCCCACTTGGTGCTTGCTTTTACACCCAGGTGTAAATATTAGCATGGAATAGAATATTTCAGTTAGAAGGGACCTACGGTGATCATCTAGTCCAAGTTCCTGAGCAGCTCAGGGCTTGCTAAAGGGTTGAAGCATTCAGGTCATTGATAAATACATTGAACAGTACTGGCCTAGGGCTGATCCCTGAGGAGCACTGCTGGTGACAGTCCTGAAGCAGCTGGAACCTCTTTGGGCTCTTCCCTTCAGCCAGTTTGTCACCCAGAGCACCCTGAATTTGCTCACCCCGCAGTGGGGACAGCTTGTCCAGAAGGATGCTGGGAGTATCAAAAACCTTACTAAAAGCCAGAAAAACTAAATCCTCTTCCTGCCCTTAATTCCCTGGGCAGTTGATCTTATCATAGATAGATATCAAATTAATTAAGCTTGTGTTGACACTGTCTGGCAGATGTGTTCATCAAAAGACCCTTAGCAGCACCCACTATAATCCTCTCCATATTTTTTCCAGGAGCTGAAATCAAACTAACAAGTCTGTCCTGATTTTGGCTGGGATAGAGTTAATTTTCCCTAGTAGCTGTGTTATGGATTCAGTGTGAGAATAGCATTGATAACACACTGATGTTTTTGGTTGCTGCTGGGGAGTGATTATTCCAAGTCAAGGACTTTCAATTTCCCAGGCTCTGCTGATGAAGAAGTGAGTGGGACACTGGCCCTGAACTGGCCAAAGGGATATTCCATACCATGGGACATCATGCCCTGGGGGATGTTAGCCAGGAGTCAGTGGTATTTTGGGATGTACTGGGCATGAAGTCTGTGACTGGTGACTTGTGCATCACTTGTTATCTCTCTTTTTATTATTTCCCTTCTCATTATATTATATACTGTTATTATATTTTATTAATTATTAAACTGCTCTTACCCACTTTTTAACTTTTCCCAGTTATCCCCATCCCCCTGAGAAGGGGCTGTGTGGAACTTAGTTCCTGGCTGGCATTAAACCACAACACTTTTTGGTGTAAATTCTTCTCGAATTATTTTCTGCACAAGCCAATGTCTCTTGCAGATAGTTTAATTACCGTGGATTATTTTAGGTATCATATTGATGACATGGGTGAGCAGAAGGAAAGGGAATGGGGTTGTCATGACTACTGTGATTTTTTAAAAAATTTTGTGCTTCGATTTAAAAATATTTTTATCTCTAAATTTTTAGGGATAAGTAATGTCCTTTGCAGATTGTAAATTACTGGTGATACTTCAGACTCCAGTAATTCTAGCAGAAGCAGTTTTTCAAGACATTTTTTCCTGGAAATCAGAAAAGGGTGAAGAGAAAGAGCATTCTCTTGGCAACTTATATAAAGGAAAACTGGGTTAGCTTAATACTCATGTAATAGTTGAGTATAACTTACTGTGGTGCTCACAAAAGGGCATGATTTGTTTCAAATCAAGTGATTTTATATAGAATTTTTGTAGAAATTTTTTTTTAATGCTGGTAATTTTTGCTTGAACTAGTAAATTCCTGCAAGCTTGCAGCTACTATTACTAACAGTAATTTCATTGTTTTATTTAAATCAATATAATTATTTTTCCACGAGGAGATCTTGCAGTACTCATGCCTTGGTTGTGGTTAGGAAGGAGTTTTTCTTGTGGAACTGATTTAGGCCTTTAATTATTTTATAGCAAAAGGAAAACTGATGCAATTTTTAGGTATTTTCAGTCATTCAGAGGGTAAATGAACTTCTTTGTGACTAATTAAGTAAATATTTCTCTAATGCACAAGAGTGGGTGTCTTTTGTGTTCTGGGTGTGTGTTCATTCTTGACCTTTGCATTACTTGGACCATAAACGGTAATTCAGGGACAGAATTCCAGTGCTTTCAGCATCGATCAGGCAGGGATCCTTCCAAAGTGAACAGCTTTTAAAAAAGAGAAAAAAAATTCTTGCATTTTTAAAAATATATCCATTAAAAAAAAAAAAAAAAAAAAAACTACCAGAAAATAAACCCAAAAAACCAGTCCTTGCTTAGATTATCCCTAAACATACATATTTATGTGATTATTACCTACACAGTTCCCTCCTGAATTTGATTGATGCCTCTGGCCTCCTTTATGTGCTTGCTCAGCGACAGCAGTGTCTCTGCTCTGATTCCCAAGCTGGTTTTAGCTCGGGTTGGTGATATAACCAGATCAGTCCAAGCTGAAAATGGGTTCATTTGTCCTGTTTCTCAGCCCTTGCTGAATTGCCTGGTACATGAGTAGGCTGCCACTTGTCCCCCTGGCTTGCTCAATCTTGTTCTTACAGTCTGGCAGTCAGTGTTGGAATTAAACTGCAAAAAAAAAAAATTTGTTCCTCAGTCATCATTTGGTTGCTGGTATCTCTTAACTGGGTGGTTTTGTGCATGTACTGGAGGCTGATAATTTCAGGTATTAATTTTCTGAAAGACTGAAATGCTTTTTTGTTTTTGCTTTGGGTAATTAGAAACAACACCGATTTTTTTTTTTTGTTTTTTTTGTGAAACCTAGTTAATATTATTGACTAATATAAATTACAGGATGAGGAATCTCTAGCAGTGGATTTTTATGCTGTGACATGCAGCTCATTCAGCTGAGGAGCTTGCCTTAAATCCCACACCTGAGCTACTTAAAGGAGCAGATACAAACAGAGTTTGTGAATTTGCAGGAAATGTGAATGGACTTTAAAGCCTCATGTTGCTTAAGATATTTTGTGCAGAGTCTTCCTTTACAGTTTTTAAGGTGTGTAAAGCCAGAAGCATCAGGTGTGAGAAGTGATGGGCTTGGCTCTCCCAGCACTGGATTCCCATCCTGTGTATCCATGGCTGTTCCTGACCACTCTTCCCCAATCCACAGTCTGTCTCTGCATGCTGGATTTAAAAATGCAGTTTGCCCATGGTGGTGACAAATTCCACTTTCCTGGTCACACTGAAAGCAGGAGAGAATTGGAAGAAAATCCAGATTTTCCCCCCTGCTTGTTTTATTTCTACTTCTCTGACAGGTGTTGCTATGTGTGTCAAGGATCTTGTAGTTAAAGGAGCACAGTCTTTATTTTAAAGTGAAAATAGGATTTTGGCAGCACTGGAAAAAATGCTCCTACTTGCCCTGAGCGGATTGTTTCTTTCCAGGGGGTGTGTGTATGTGACAGAGGCTGGAAAGGAGAGGGATAAGTGTGTGTGGGCACTGGCAGCAGGCCACACTCTTCAGGCCATGCTCTGTATCATCCCTCCCTTCTCCCAGTGCCTTGCAGAATGTATAGGCTCAGCTATACAAAATAATACATTTATTTAAAAAATTGTGTTAAATGAGCTCATCTCAGTCACTCAGCAGTTATGAAATCCTGCCAAGTGCTACACGTCTTGTAAATTTAGAGGGTTTTTTTTTTCTTTTTTTTTTTTTTTTTAATTTGCAAAGGATGAAATACTACACAAGTTACTGAGGCAGAGAGAAGGCATCTTCCTTCACCCATAACATACTGAGGCACGAAGAACGATGCTGAAAGCCAAGGTTTCTGGTTTGACCCTCCTCATCAGAGCTCCTGAACGTGAAGATTCCTGACTCACAGAAGCTGTCTGCTCGTGGCAGGCAAAATTATCATTTCTTGCACTCACAGCTGAGGGTTTTCATGGGGTTGGTGACCAGCTCTAGCACAGCACAGCTCCTTCTCCTTTTCCTTCTCCTTTTCCTTCTTCATCACCAGCTTGGAACCAGGAATGGGTGAGACTTCTGCTGCTTCCCTCCTAACGAGGTACGAATTCCAGATCAAATGTTAAGAGCTGCTTGTTTCTACGTGAAGAAATCAGATTCAACCCCTGGATCTGTTCCAAGCAGGGATATCATTACGTTTGACTCTTGTGTTTGAAGCTGTTAAAGCCTGCTGATCTGACACAGCTAGGGATGGAACTAAAATATATCAGCGTTTCGGAGATGGGAACTGATGGGTAATTTAGTCTGACATTTTGGGTGTTGTAGGTCATTACATGTAACTGTTACTCCCTGTTTTGAGCTCAGTAGCTTATGTTTGACTGAAAAAATGAAAAATTAACAGGCATCTGCTGAAAATCCTTTTCAGAAGGGCAGGCTGGCTTATTTGGGAGTTACTTAGACATGAGGATTTCAATATCTCTCATAGTAATTTGTTCTATGGGACAAACAGTCTGTGCTTGCTTGGTTTTGTTTTTTGTTTTTTTTTTTTGTTTGTTTGTTTTTTTTTTGTTTTTGGGGTTTTTTTGGGTTTTTTGGTTTTGTTTTGTTTTTTTTGTTTGTTTTTTTTTGTTTTGTTTTTGGTTTTTTTTTTGGTTTTTTGTTTTGTTTTGTTTTGCCACATTTATAACTTGGATATGCCGGATTCTACATAGTTTCATGTAATTTTAAGCTGACATAAACCAGCAGAATTGCTGTAAGAAGCAGTCAGCATCCCCCAGTTCCTGCCTGGATACCCCTGCTCCTGGCGTGGTGCTCCTATAACCATGGGTGAACTGCAGAACCAGCCACAAAAGCAGCAAAATCAGACTTCTCCAGGGTCAGTACCAAGATCTAGATCATGGCACAGCTGCATGAAGGGGAAGGAACAGTCAGGGATGAGAAATTTGTACAGGTGGCTTCAGCAGCAGGTGGTTAAGCCATGGAGTTGCTGTCAGCTCTTGGTTCTTGGCCTCTTCCTGGTGGGAATGTTGTTTGTTCTTGGCCCTTTTCTGGTGGGGAATAGTGGTGGTTGTGTTGCTCTGCAGCCAGCAGCATCTATGGGTTTATTCTCCTGGTGTTACACACCAAAACTTCCAGCCAGGTGTTCGCCAGAATGCTGGAATGCAAAAAGATAATTATTTGATGTAGCAAAAGCTGTTCAAGTGTTATCTAGGTATTAATGTTTACTTTGTTGTTGAGTTTTTAGTGTCTGTGTTGTAGTAATTGGTAGCTATACACAAGGGAAAAGGGCTTTGGATTTGCTGGAGGGCTTATACAAGGCAAATTAGTCTGAGTGTTGGCAGGTAGAAAGTGGAAATTCTCAGCATGTGGTGGCTGTTTTTAGTAAAGATTTTTTTTCAAAAAATAAACTCTGCTTTAAAGACACAATTTGATATTTATCTTGAGACCAGATGTTGAACAGTATTTAGTGCTAAACCAGGTGACCTTCACACTGAAGAATTTTGTTCTCTCAACTGAATGAATATTTCTCTTAGGAGGAGAGCATTTGGTAAGAAATCTCTGTGCCAGCTCTCATGCTCTTCATACTTTATTGTGGTTTATAATAAGAGGAGAGCATCTTCAGCCTGTAAAAATCTGAGATGTGCGTCATACTAATGTGGTATTAGTTTGTTGTGCTTCCTTTGTAGTCTGAGGAGGGTGAGGTTTTCTGAGATAAGAGGAGGAAAGAGCTGAAACTGCAAAGAGAAGGATCTGAGGACAAGTCAACCCCAACAACAGAGGATTGTGCAGTTGGGGCAAGGGAATGTCTCTATCACCACAAAACACTGTGGAGTTATGGACTAGAAATTCAGAATATGCCCGTCTCCTGGAGCATCACATACTGATGTTGTTCTCTATAGATGGAAAAAGATTTTTTTTCCAGATACTGCTGCAAGTGTTGACTGATCGGTTTTTTTAGTACTGTCAAAATAATTTTTGTTGTTTTCATTTCAGTTTACCAGTAACTCTTACTGTAGTGAAAGTTGTTACGTAAGACTGGCCTGTATTTTCTTGCCAAAAGACTCCAGTATTTTTTTAAGCAACGGTGCTGATTGGTTGAAGCACAAAGTCACTGTTCACCGCCCTGATTCCATGTCTCTCCAGGTAGCACAGAGCAAAGCTTCCTTGTATTTAAGACTGAAAAGTATTCAGTTTTCTTTCGAGATGGATTTGGTTTTGCATAATTTGTGAATTACTTCAGCAAGAGTTCGCCTTCACAAGTTTCAGCTGTACAGGTCTCATTTTAACCATGGGAACTGCTGAATTCAGCTGTACAGGCTTGTTTTGCACAGGAATCTTCATCCCCCTTCCATTTTTGTTCAGGAGCTCCTGGCAGCCCAGGTCATCAGACCTGTTGCCACCACTTACGTGGAAACCCTTTCCCTTGGGATCTGATCATGTGTTCATTCAACTCAAAAACATCTTTTAAAGGGACCGTCTGAATTTGGGCTGCCTTCATTGAAGCTTCTCAAAGTTGCCTGGCCACGCAATCCCAGGGATGTTCTGCTGCTGTACCTTGGCAGTGTTGGCTTCATGGCTGGACTTGCAGGTCTTTTTCCAACCTAAATAATTCTGTGATTCCCTTCTTCAGGTGTTCTTGCTGTTACTGACTAAGCATACAAACTTTGATACCTTTCCTGCCTGTTTTACTTGCCTCTGTACTTCATTTTTGGTTGGCGTCTGATCCTGAGTAGTCCTGTCCCAGGCAGTGCCTTGTGTCCTGATTATTTTTTTACCTGTGTTTTGTAAAATCTTCTGGTTGAATCTGTGGAAAAGCTTGCTTGGCTGAAATTTTTCTGACAACCTGCATTATTTATAGGGGAAATTACCATATTTTTTATTTAAAAGTCTTACTTCAGGTTTTTATTGAAGACAGCAAAGATTCCTTTTATAGTTTTTTTGGTTTGGGTTTTTTTGTTCTGGTCTTTTTTTTGTGAAGGTTTGTGGTTTTTTTGGGTTTTTTGTTTCTTTTTTTTTTCAACATTTGTTCCAGTATTCATTGTGCAGATGTGTATTACCCTAGTAAAGCTGTAAACTAGCCAAGCTGTGCTGATCTTCCCTGGAGGTGGAATAGTTTAAAGAAGGCTTTGTGGTCTGCTTTACTTGTGTATACTTCAAAATAATTTAAGAGAAAGGTGCTTTTTTATTTACCAAGCATTTGCAAGTAAACCTTAATAACCCATCACAGCAAATAGTAAATAATTTTCTTTACAACACAGGGCCTCTTTTTTCTGAAGAGATGGGATTCTTGCCAGCCTTCAAAGTTTTCAGAAGATTGCTCCTGTTTTCTCCTTATTATGTGTCAAATTGTAAAACATAAAAAATTGTTGACAAGCTTTAAAATAAAAAAGATATCCAAGATTGACATCTTTTGCTAAAATACCATTTAACTTCTTTTCAGGTAGAAAATAATGGCTATTAGAAGAGAAGATCAGTAAATGATGCTGAAATAGAAGTTTTTGTGGGTGGTTTTTTTTTTTGTTTGTTTGTTTTTTGGTTTTTTTTTTTTTTTTTTTTTTTTTTTTTTTTTTTTTTTTTTTTTTGTTTTTTTTTTTTTTTGGGTTTTTTTTTTTTTTTTAAGAAAGAATCTTAAATGATTAATTGCTTCTGGAACCTTAGTGCAGTGGCTTTGGAGTTTTCCAAAGGGGGCAGTGGGACTCACTCTCAATGCAGTTCCAGTCTGCTGTTGTATCTATGGCTTACTACCAGTATATATATATTTTATATATATGTATATAGTATTCAAAACATTGAATAAAAAACAAAAACATTGAATAAAAATGAAGTTTTGTACTTGGTTCAAGCTGTCTGGGTGCCTTCTGGGGATGTAAAAGTACAGTTATCAAGGAAACATCAGTTTCCTAGTTGGCTAAAAAAGGTGATTGTGGTTGTGTATCACTTCTGTGCATCAATTCTGAAGAATTTTTTAAAAAAACAACAACTGGAGAAACCAAAAGCTTAAACTAATGGTCATCTGCCTATTCATTGGGCTGTGACTGAAACCAAGAACAGGGCAAAGAGCTTTGCACTAAGAAGTCATGGCTAAAATGTACCTGACATGAACCAAACAGGAAATTCTGCAGAGAAAAAGGGGAAATAAGAACTTGGATCTTGTTAATTAAAGTTTTGGCAAGCTGACCTTCTGGGCCTTTTTGAAAACTCCAGTGTGGGATGCATCACGACTGGTGTTTGAATTTCGTGTGTCTTTTCTGACCACAGTGGGGGGAAAATGTGTTTGCCATCAGGTGCAAGTCTCTGGTGGGAGGAGATGGGACATTCCATGAGAGTATCTGAGGGTATTTTTGGGAAGCAGCTTTTTGGAGGATGGGATAGATAGAGACTAGTCAGAAAGGAGCCTTTGACAAGAATGGAGACTGAGGAGGGCAAAACCAGCAGTCTCTGGGAATGTTCAAACAGGGAAGGAAAGACTTACTTCAGGGATGCAGAGGGATTTGTGAAATTAGGTTGTTAATGGATTGAGAACAAGTTTGAAAAAAAAAAAAAAGAAACCACAATGGACCAGGGGAGTTACTTAAAAGTCTTTTATTCATCTTGCTTTTAATTTTACTATTCACGAGTCCCATGTTTTATGTATTTTACTAATAACACTGAGCTCTGGAGTTTACAGTGCTTTTAGTGTTGAATGATGCTCATTCTGAAGGAGGGAGCAGAGCTCCTCCATCACTCTGTGACTCAGGGTCCCACAGCAGGGGTGGTAGAGGCAAAATGTGAACCTTGAGGCAGCCCTGCGCCAGGAGGCTGGAAATAAACAAAAAAAATGTGTCCTCTCAAGGCTGAGACAGAACGTTTTATTTGTATTTTGAAAAGTCAGTCATTCTTCCACACAGTTCTGGAAAAGAGTGGCAGAATGTGACATCCCTTTCTTCCAAGGGTTGGTCAGAAAGTCGCCTGGTGGAGCTCCATGTAGATCCAGGTGTGAGATGGATGAATGTTACAGAAAACAAAAGGAAATCCAGGTCTTTCACTAAGTTCATCCCATGACTCCCATGCATAACCTTTGTGTGAAAAGAGAGGAAGTCTTAAGAGCCCAAGAATCCAGACAGATCACCAGACAGGCAGAGATTAAATTGGGATTAAGAAGTTTGAGCAGGAGAAGCATGGCAGAGATAAACCAAAGCGCAGGTGGGGTCGCTCACAGAAACAGAATGTCTGAAGAGTATGTGTTAAAATGAGCATATTTAACATAAATACGTTGTATAGAAGTTTCCAAAATACATATTAAAAAGAGAAAAAAAGCTAGCAAGAACTCTCTTAGAGTCTTCAAAGTTATTTACTTAGTCTGAGATGATGAGGATAGGGAAGAGATGCACTGGTTTCATCACCTCCTGTAGGTGAAGACTTCAGAAATCAGCTTGTTGAGGCATTCCTGTAGAAAAGTACAAGATTTAAATCAAGTTGGAAGAAGACTTGCAGCACAGCTTTTGACTTAATCTCAGGGTGATACTGCTCTGAGAGCAAGGCAAATGAAAACGGCAGGCATTGGTGCCTGTTGAGAACTGGATGCCCTGGTTTTCAGAACATCTCAGTGGGTTGAAAGGACTAACACTGGGAAATTGGTCAGGCACCAGATTTGGTCTGAGACAAAGTTCACCTGTCCGCCCTGTGAGAAAAAACAAAATGGGATCATGAGTGCAGAGTGAGGATGTGCTTGAGAGTACTGTTGAGATGTCTGAGGCAGGGATGAAAAATCCACCTTTCCTCGGAGGAAAGAACCATCTGTGATAAAAGGGTCATTTTGAGGCTTTGGAGACTTGGTTTGCCAGAGACACCTGAGGGAACTGGGGCAGAGGAGAGGTTTTCTCCTGCATTAGCAGGACAAGCAGGAGGTTATAGCTGTAACTAGCAAGAGGAGAACAGAGAAAATGCTCTGGATTTTCCACAGTGTTTTAGAATGCTACTTCTGCAGGGAAAAATCCCCAAAAGATGCTTAACAAACCAAAGCTGATGGGCTGAAAAGGAGGCATATTTTCCCTTCCAAAGCATTAAGGTGGATGGATGGATGGATGGATGGCAAGTGTGCCCTGGGCTGGTGGGATGAGGGAATTGGGGAAACTCCTGTTCATCCTAAATTAAATCCAGACAGGATTAAACAGGTCTCACTTCTGGAACTGCTGAGAATGAGGGAAAGAAAATGCCTGGTTTTGTCATGTCATTTTTCAGAAAACTTTTTCATAAATGGGAAAACGAAGTGACTGGAAGAGGTGTGGAGCAGGATGCAAGAAGTGTAAAACTGTGGGACCCACCAGGATTTGCTTTGTCCTTGGTGGGATTCCGTGACAGAGAGAAAGAAAATGGTTTCAGATTGTATTTTTTAGTCAAGGAAGTGATTGAAAAAGAGATTGAAAGAGAGAAGGACCTGCCCTGGAAGGGTGAAGTGAGTACTGAGGAGATGGCTCAGAAACTGTTTAATTTCTCTTACTTCACTGTAGTTTTTTCTGTGCAATAAATGTGTATTTAAACTGTTTGGTTCTAGTAAAACTCAGCTGTGGAATTAACAAACATGCTCTTCTGTCTTTTGGGTGTCTCGTCGTGGAAGGGTGGAAGCAAATCGACCTCTTACTGTGCCAGGCAATTTTGATAGCACAAATCCAAGCACTTATATATGAGTGAGGTCTCGAGAAATCACTGACTTGGACATACTAATCATATCACTAAAGAGAGGGAGGCCTCTGAGTGCAGGAGGGACCATTTCCATCATGGATATTTTTAATGAAAATGATTTTTTTAAGTCTTACGTTAACCTATTTTTTGTTTAAAAAATGAAAATGAGGAAACGAAAAAGATTTTTGAAAAATTAAAATTTATAGTTTTGACTAGTGGCAGAAAACATAATAAGGTTTTGCTTTGGTTTGGTGGTTTTATTTATGTATTTATGTGCAAATTAACAGCTTTTGGAATTATGAGAAATAGGAAAAGAAAAAGGAAAATCTTTTGTACTTTTAGACCAGTGGCATGAATACAGAATTGGATGCTTTGCTAGGCTTCTAGCTGTGTTTTAAGTAAAGAGAATTTTCCTAGTTTTTCAGGCTGAGAGAAGTTGGGAGCAATTTGCTGTATGATACGGAATACAGTGAATCAGCATTTGCAATGGCAGCTATTTATAGTTACTCTATTTTTATTCAAAGCAAAACAATAGCACTGAATTTCAGGCAGTTGGACCAGACACTCAGGAAGGTCTCTCTGGAAGCTGAGGGGAAAATAATCTCATCTTGCTGGATCTTGAGGGCTGAGCTCGTGAGCTCCGCCGGCATCTCCATTTCAGTGCCGTCCTCCGAAGGTGAAATCCGGGGCTGTGCTGGGGAGCTGCAGGAGCAGATGCCTCTAAAATGTGGTTTTCACCCACTATTCAGGGGCTATCAGCATTCCTTGTATTTTCTCTTTGAAGGACTGAGCAATGTAATTAATGCCTGTTAATTTTAACCGTCTCTTCCAGGTTTTCTGTGTCTGCTCCACGTCCTCCTGCTGCTGCTGCAGCCAACGTGGATCCGAATGCCGTGGCTACAAAGGCTTGTCACTGTCTCATGCTGGGTCCCGCACATCCAAGAGCTACTTGGTAGTTTCCAAGGCAACCACCTGTGGAATAATTAAAAAGGATGAAGTGTTAGCGTGCCAGATATAAGGAATTCTTGCCTGGAGAGAGCGTTTCACTTTCTTCCGTCTTGAAGAGTCAAAACGTGCTTCTGCCAGCGAAGTTAAGGTAGTACAATTAAAAAGTAATGGTTTATTTTCTGGAAGTTTTGAGGTGGAGCAACAAGCCTGATATGGCTGGATGTTACACAGAAATGACCGTGGTTCCTTCTGGGTTAATATTTTGGGTAGATTTAAATGGAAAATGCACGAGAAAGGTGGTGATGGGAAGGCAGTAATCAGCATTTTGTATTAGCAAAACAGTTGCATGGACTGTTTTGCACTTCATGCCGTCTTCCCTCGGATGATTTTTAGCTGGGAAGGACTAAAATGGAGCATACATTAGTTGGAGCATAAATATAGGAAGTGCAGCCTTCATGCCAAGTACACTGAGATTTCTTTGGCATTCAGTGCAGTGATAGATATAAAAGGAATCTAGGAGTGGGCTCACTGCAAAATGACAGTCGGAATCAAGGCTTGATCTTTATCCCAGAGCTTAAAGGGTGGGCAGTGACTAAGTCCATGCTGAACCAAACTGATAATCAGGTTTAGCTGCTTCAGTGAGGCAGCAGCTAAAACCATTTTGAAGTCACATATTCCCAAATTCAGAGCTGAAATTGCACAGTGGGAAAAAACCCCAAATATTAAGCAAAAGAAGCCTGTCAGAATAACAAAAATGGAAAATTCGGTTCTGAAAGTTTGAAATGTTACTTCAGAAGTTGATGTCAAAGGTGTTAGACTTCAGATAACTGGAAAAGTTCTTCTCCAAGTATTATATGTTGCTGGATGTATTTGCTCATTATATCTTCCTTCTCTGCCAGTCATTCAAATATAGTTGAATAGAAAAATATTATTCATTTCTGACAATGGAGTTAAATGGAGAAAAACCACATTCCCATTCTTCCCATAGTCCAAATAACTGCTCAGTTAAGTCTGGTTACCTTGCCTGATGCTCTTGTACAGTTAATTTTAGGCGTGATGCTTTTGTGTAATTTATTTTAAGAAAAAAAAAAAAGAGTCCTAAATTTTGAAGTAGAAATATTTGGGATGCCATCTGGGCTTTACATAATAAATTTTTCCTGCCAAAATGTTTGTGGGATTCTGTTGGGATGTGGATGGGATTTCACATTCCATCCCTTTCCACAGCACAAGAAGATCATTGTTTTTTAGATATGGTGGATCCAAGAAGAAATAAGAATTGTGTGGTGGCAGCTCTGTGATCCGAGGGAATACAAATAGAATATATCCAGTAACGACTCTCACCTTTTACAGATGTTACCTAATTTCAACAGCAAATATTTGCAGGTACCAGCTGAGTACAGCTGCAGTTTCCAACCCTAATACTTGATTTCCTGTCCATTGGTTGGTTGTCACCACATCCTAAATGCCAAAATGGTTTTCTTTCTGCAGTAATTCCTCAGCCTGTTAATTCCTTTCAGTATGGAGCTGAGGAAAGTGGTTTTTTCAGGCAAATGCTGTTTTCACATGTGGAAGGAGTGTGCTGGCAAAGTGTCTGCACCAAGCACAGTGAGGAGGATACAGAACTGAGACACTCTAGGGTAGAATGAAGGTGTGTGTGGATTCAGATCCTTGATCTTTCCAGTCAGCATCAGTAACTCTCAGAGGTGGGACTGGCACTTGGGAAAGAGCACACGAGTGTGTTTGTGTGAGCCTGATGTAGTAATGCAGGAGTGTACACAGAGGAGTTCCAGCTTGCTTGCTTCTACAAAACATCCCAAACACATACAAATACCTCCATTTTTCTCTTTTACCTCAAATGCTGTGGATGAGGCTTTTCTCAGGAAGCTTAAATGTCCAGGTGCTGCTGAAGCCACAGGGAACAGCAGGTGGGATGAACAGCTTCCTGACAGTCCTACTCCAGACCCCCTTGAAGGGGATGACTTATCTCTAAAAACGTGCCTGTAGAAATTAATCCATCTTTTCCATGGATAGTTCTGCCTGGATTTAGATGATTTAGCCCAGGTGGCAAACCTTCCAGGAACTTCAAGTGTGCAATTACATATATTTGTATACAAAATTAATTGATTTATGCTTGTTTCTGCATGTTCCATTCCTATTCCAGACTTTCCAGAGCTGAGTGGAGTTGCAGTTGATCACTGGTACAACCTCCTTACTCATCCTTCTCTTCCCAACTCGGACATTTGACCCTGTCAGTTTTCCCAGCCTTTATCTGCAAGTCTGTGCTTCAGTGTCAAGGGTGGTGAAGAGCCCCACAGAGTTTGTTAACATAGTTTGTAAGAGAAATGAAAACAGCCAAGCTAAATTTAGGCAGCTGTGCTGTGTGAAAGAAAATACAGTAACAGGCAAAATTGATTGCTGATGTTTTTTATGTAGGTTACATTCTAACAGTCTTTATCCTTGGGAAGTTTTACAAGACTGAAGGGAGGGAGTAGGTGGTTTGAGGCAGTGATTTGTTCAATAATTTTAATCTCTTAAAGTGATTCAGTACCTGTTGACACAGAAGTTGTTTCTGTAGCCTTGGCTATTAAGAACTAGTGCTGCATGCACTCAGAAAAGTGAAGTTTTCTTTTGAATTCCCTTTCTGTGGCAGATTTGTTTTGCTCCATATTGGAGTAACTTGGTGTCTTTTTGAGAGGAAAAAAATGGGAAATAGTGTTATGGTAACTCTTTCAAAGATTATTTTGATACAGTGGTTAATATTTTCCTATTTTTGTACCATCAGGTCACCTGTATCAAGAGTCAGTTACAGTGTGGTAGTCTAAAAGTGTCATTAAAATACCCATTAATTTTGTTAAATGAATTAGGGCTGTTTCCTGGAATAGGTAGGACTTCTCATCTTGTTGCTTGGAAATCCAGGTGATTTTTGAAAGGGAGTTTTTCCTTCTAGCAAGAGTGGAAATGTAGGGGAAATTCAGGGAAAGGGCAATAAGCTCAAGTCACCTTTGTGGAAAAGGGAACTCAAATAATGAATGGACCCTTTTTCTTAGGCTCGAGGGGAAGGAACTGTTTTGCTGCACTTTGGTGGGTGGATGTTTTATGGGGGGCAAAACTGCATTGCAACTTCAATGCAAACAGAATTATCTACAGGGTGACAGACTTTATGCTTAGGCACCTGATCCCTTTCACCCCTCCAGCTGCTCCTGCTGGGCATTTTGGATATGCTTTTCCAGCATAGTTCTGATGATTTTGCCTGATACACAACACATAAAGTCTAGAATAGAATAAAAAAACCAACTGTGACAACTTGCAGAGAGGTACTGAAGGTAGGAGGAGAAGAGCAGCTCTTGTCATTTACTGACCTAGAGCAGTGCTTTGTCTCCAGCAGTGGCCATAGGTGGATTATTGAGGAGCACAGCAGCAGAAAGGGAACAGGATCCTCCTTCTGCACACCCTTCACTGTCCTGACATCTGTAGGACATGGATTGACTGAGCTGGATGTTCTTTGGGGTTTTTTTTGCAGTGTTTACTGGACTTGGCTTTTGGAATTCATTACTGAAAATTAGTGGGAAGTGTAAAGCTCTGTGGTTCTCCAGCTCAACTAACACATCAACCTTTTCAGTGAAGAATCATCTTCTTTTGTTAACTTCTGAGCCTGAACTCCATTTAAGATCCACTTCTTGCACTGGAAAAGGCTTAAGTAATTTGTACATAACTATTTCCATTACAGCCATGATTTTCTAGAGCTCTGCCTGCTGCAAGTGTTGAGTCATTTCAAAGCCTGCTGACCTATATACATGAAATAGGGCCACTTGCCCCATCTCCACTCATCCTACTTCACACTTAATTTCATTGACAGTCCTCATTAATTTCACTCCTGAATTTCATTTTGATGTCCAGTGAGTTACCTGCACTCATTTCTTTTTGGTATTTCCTACTTATTTACTGCCTTTGCTACTGTGAATAACTTTACTACCATCAGCAGATGTCGTCATCTCGCTGTTGAGCCCTTTTCATGTCATTTATGAATTCATTGAGCAGTGCTGGGAACAGATCCCAGCCCAGATCCCTGTGGAAAGAAGAGCTGAAATGGCACCAAGTCCTGCCAAAAGCAGAGTGGGTTTGCCCACTTCTGCACGTGGCACAGCTGAATTTGTGGTGAAATCCCTGTGCTGTTTGGGTACACTTGTAAATGTGGAGTCACTGTAAAACACTTTGTAGGAATGGATAATAATATGTTAGATAAAATGCCATTCTTCATCACAGGATCATTAAGGTTGGAAAGGACCTCTAAGATCACCAAGTTCTGCCCTGAAGCACCACCATATTCATCATTAAACCATATCCTCAAGTGCCATATCCATGCAGTTTTTGACTCCACCACTTTCCTGGGCAGAGTGTTCCAGTGCTGCCTATTTGTAATTTCACCTTTGACATACAGGGTGGGCAAGGGATTCACCTTTTTGGATGACTGAGGATGATATTTAGTGTTTAAAAGGTCCATGCCTGCTTTGTTCACAGCATTTTTCATCTTCTGAGTTTTTAGTCTCAAAACCAACTTGGTTGGAACCTGCTGGTTTGTCACTCTCTGCATTGACAGTAGATATTAAATAAGGGAAATTAGGTAACAGAATCAATCTCCACATTCATAAATACGTGCTTGGTTTAGAAGATTAGGTGTAGGAAATTGCCTGAGCAGTAGAACTGCTACTTGCACTTTTTCTCCAACATTAATGTAGAGAACATCTAATGTTTGTAAAACTGGGCCAGACTTAAAGGGTCTGTAGCATGAAATAACTTTTCCAGTGGTGTCTTGCAGCTGCAGCTTTGGGAAGCAGAGTTGAGGACACTGAAGTGCTGCACGAGTGCAGTGTTCCAGTGTCCCACTGCTGCTTCCTCTCACTGCCTCTGTTAATTTCTAATTACTCCTGAAATTCTGTTTGCTTTTTCACTGCTCCTGTTGTCAACCACTGTGAAAACTGTATTTTCACAAAGCTATCTGCAGTGACTTCAAGGTCTCTCTTAATCAGGAAAAAAGCTAATTTAGAACCCCTCATTTTCAGTGTGTAGTTGGCTGCTTTTTTCTATTTACAGGGCCTTAGAATTAATCTATTTGAATTTCATCTTCTGTTTTCTCCCCCAGTCACGCTG